GTACATTATAGAAGTTTTGTTGTGCTTAAAATGATACATGCATAAATAAAAAGAGATAGAGTTAAATATAAAAAAGCAAGCAAAAGATTATATATTTCAAAATGATTATACAGCACTTTTTATATTGTTTTTAAAAAATGAAAAGAATTTCTCACTGTGATTAGCACGTTTTTTTAGATTTCCCTTCAAACTTTTCTCTAGATGCGAAAGAAATATCTAAATCTAAGGAATTTGCAGCTTGTACCATTAACGCCAATTTTACAGCCGCTTCGGCTGCCTTGGAAAAATCATCTACAGAGATAACTTTCAACTGTGCTTCACGGATTAACTTTTTTGCTTCTTCTACATTAGTTCCCTATGTATATGTATAAAAAAGAAATAAAATTCTTAATAATGTTTTGTTTTCTCTATACATATTAATAAAGTACCTGCAATCTCACAACTATTGGAACTTTTAAACTTAAGTCTTTGGATGCGGAAATAATTCCTTGCGCGATTATATCGCATCTCATAATACCACCAAATATATTTACCAAAATTGCTTCTACCTGAAAATTCATAAGTATATATTTTATTAAATTTCTTAAATGAAAAATATTGCAGTCTCAATTTTATACAGTAATAAATACCTTCTGGTCAGAGACTATTATTTGAAAAGCCTCTTTTACGGTTTCTGCAGTGGCTGTACCACCTACATCTAAAAAGTTAGCTGGCATACCACCATTCAGTTTTATAATGTCCATGGTAGCCATGGCTAATCCAGCTCCATTCACCATACAGCCTATATTTCCATCTAGGGCTATATAGTTTAAATTAAATTTGGCTGCACGAACCTCATTAGGATCTAGTTGTGTTAAGTCCTGCAATGCAAATAATTCTTTTTGTCTGTATTCTGAACTGTCGTCGAAAGAACATTTACAATCTAAGGCGAAATCTGAAAATACATAACGTTTATGTCGTTGTCTGACAGGTATCTACACTTTAATAAAGTTAATTCAATACGATTTCTCTCACAACGTACAATCTCCGCAAATATCTAACGCAAATGGATTGATCTCAAGCAATAAAGCTTCCGTTTCAATAAATAACTCGTAGAGATTGCAGATAATCATCGAAGTGACATCTCTGCCCTCTCCCTCCATACCCAACTTATCCACAGCCTGTTTTACTTGTTCAACTGTTAAGCCTTTCATGATGTCAACTGGCATATATGATATAGCTTCCGGATTCGTGGCGGCAATATCTTCAATATTTACACCGCCTTGTTTAGATACAATTATAACAGGGCCCTGTAAATTACATGTTTTCTTTTGTAATCGATATAACAAATTCAATAACTATGTCAATAAAATTTAATGAAATATTAAAACTTACACCAAAGGTTCTCTCCAACATTACTGACATATAATATTCTTTGCGTGGAAACATCCGTGTCGTTACCATTACTGAATTACAAATTTTACCGGCAGCTCCAGTTTGTTTAGTTATTAACAATTTGCCTATCATACTGCTGGCCAGAGTTTTTGCTTGTTCAGGCCTAAAAATAATTTTTAATATTAAGTACAAATATAATTAAACTTTTGAAGCAATAAATTATTAATGAATGACTTTAATAAAGTATTTAAAGATATAAATTTGTTAAACTTACGTTTCACACATAACAACGCCATGGACATTGCTATCTTTAAAATGTCCTACTCCACGACCTCCAGCAAGAACTTGAGCTTTTAAAACAATGTCTTTTGTCTTTAGATCTGCAGCTATTTTAGCGACCTCATCTGGGGTTTTAGCTACTCCAAAAGGTGGAGTTGGAATTCCAGCATCTTTCAATAAAGTATATGCAACATGTTCATGTACTTGCATGTGTCGAACTTGTTGAACAGTGATAGAAGATCGAGTTAAAAACTGAAAAATAATTTCTTTGGTAATTGACATTTCTATTTGTTGACTATAATTATTTAAAAGCATGTATGTATCTACCTGTCTTCCTATTTTTTGAGCGCAAACTAACATAAGTGACGAGACTCCGGTAGACATATTATCCACAATTAATTTTAAGTAAATTTTATTAGTATATAAAAAATGTTAATTTAATATATTTTCACAGAATATTTTTAGATCTTTATGAAAGTGTGCGAATTAATGTTTTTTTTATATACACATAAAAATTTTTCGAAAAACCATTGTGTCTTGAACTTGCAACTTTGAATAAAATTGTTTGATGAAGTCAGTGCAGTTAAGTAGGCGGTGAACAAAGGACATTACGATACTGATAATTGCTCATATTTATAGTCGATACTAACATTGCATCTCACGTTATATACTACACAACAATATTTACACTTAAGAAATGTTTCAACAGTAAATTCACAATACACTCTTCATAAAAATTTATCAGTTCAATGAACATTAAGCTACTCAATATACAAAATCTGTAAATCTGTAATCTCAATATTTCAATGGGATAACAAGTTTCAATAAACAGTGAAATTAAGTAAAATATAAAAGGTCAATTTACATTGTACTTCTATGTATACTCTCATTATAATTTTCTTACAAGCATTTATAATTATTAAATAGGTATAACAAAGAAAAAGTTCATGCTACATTATAGACGTACGCTTCATTGGTATATCGTATTTTTTTTTTCTCCAAATGTGAATAATTCTTGTATTAATACACCATTTTACATAACAACCGCTTTGTAAATGAATTTATTCCCCAAATCAGACTTATAATTATTTTAGGAACTACGTCCTGAATGAAATTCCCACAACTTTTGTAATTCGAATGTAATTATACCGTTTAATCATATTGTTATCATTATACTTTGCCCTTAGATGCGCATGCTACTCTTATTGAGGCCACGTCTCTCTATAAAAACTTATTAACTCCAATAAAAAGTTTCTATATAGAAAACAACCATAGTCATTGCAACCTCGAAATATTTAAGTTCCAAGCAAAAATTCTGTGACGTATAAGAGAATGTAAAAAATAATACATTATTCTCTAAACAAAAAGTAAACATTTATTCTTAATAATCAAAATGATTCGTTCTTTTATAAAAAAAATTTACTACGAAATTTGCTCTTCATATATTACATTATCTTTTAAGCTTAAAAGAAATACAACTTTCTTTTAGAAACGTATAAGTAAAAAAAAAAAAAAGAGCTATTAAATGACATGGAAATAACCTTGGTGTCTGAAATTTTCGAAGTTATAAGGTAATGCCAGGAGTAGAAGATAATGCAATTATTAAATTTATTATAAATTGAATGCATCTAATATCTTCAAACATAAATGTTCTATATTCTAGAACTTAGGAATAATTTGTATGCTGCTTAGAGTAGAAATAAAAGAAGTTCAAGACTATTCGTTTAGATGAATTGCTTTTCATTTGATGCAACTTAAATATTAATGCAATTGATGATACAGAATTATTATATTCTGTATCTGTTTTAAGCATAAAATATCTGGCCTCAACAGTCTTATATTCTAAATACAAAACAAATTTTTTTTCTTCAGTTTAAAAACTAAATCTATCATTAAGTGTTCTTCCTGTAACGCCAAGATTTCCGGACAAGCTGTACATGACTTCGCTGAAAGTACGGTCATCAACATCGGCTCCTGCGTCTGATGATGGAGTGTTACGTGTACGAGAACGGGAACGTGACCTTGACCTTGAACGTTGTCGACCAAATATAGGCGATCGACCAACCTGAAAATATCATACCATATTTAAACTTTGTACACTCTGTCTAAACGGTGATCGTCCTCTTGGTAATGGACGCAGAGTGTTCACGGCATTTCCATTTCTACTTTGTGTGAGAGCAAGGGGGCGTTGATGGGTGCTAGGACTGTACTCATTTCCCAATGTACACATGAAGTTTACATTTGAGTTCGTATTTAATCGTGAAGAACTACAACATTGCATTATTTCAATTAAATCTAAATACTATATAATCGTAGAAATAAATTATATGAACGTATAGTTATTTAAAATTGTGAATCATTTCACGTAAAATATATTAAAAGTAAAAGAGTTTAAAAATAATTATTTGACTGAAAAGTACTCGAAAGAATTTATGATTTGTTTAGTAAGTTAATCGGAACGATCAATTATAAAACGTTTAAGCATACTTCATTCTCATTAATTTTTGTTCGTATTGCGCACGTCTTTGTGCGCGGGCAATTTGATCTGATCGTAATCCACCAGTAGTAAAACGTCGCTGAGACGTTAAAATTTGTTGCCTTCTTTCCGTGGACCTTTGTTGAAGTGACATCATTGATTTTCCAGCTTGTGGTACCTATAAAAAATAGCTGATTTAATTTCAAGTTGATCAACACCACAATTTATTGTTTATACAATATAAACTTACTCTGAATTGGTTTTGTAGAGATAATCTCTGATTCTGTCTTTGTAATAATAATTGTTTTGCTCTTTTAACACGATTTCTGTAAGCAATTTGAGCAGGGCTTTGATATCCCAATCTATTATGGACCGAAGTTGGGTCGCGTAAATTTGGTAGACTGTTCGTTCGTTTTAAAGGAGTTTTATTATTGGTGAAAAAGCCTCCTTGTGTAAAAGTCAAGTTTGTGCGACTTCTACTGCGGGTCAGACCAAATCTGTTGCCACGACCGCGGCGAACGTTAAAAGCTCCTCGTGTATTAGATTTCTGGTTCAATGTTAAATTACTTCGTGATCTAGTGAGACCACTGTTTTTCTTGTATCGTTTTCTCACAAAACCACCACGCACATTATTATTGTTGTTATTGTTATTATTATTCTGCCCAGTTTGCCACGTTTGCTCTTTTTTAGCAGTTCCAATGTTATTACGTTTTACTCTAGCACCTCTACCCCTTAGTCCACTTCGCCCTCGTGTACTTCCTCGTGTGCGTTTAGCACCAGCTTTTCCATTGGCAGTCCCAGCCTTTTTCTTTTTCTCCTTTTTCTCCATCTTTATGATTTCATCTTAAAAGGAAGAAAATTCGCAAGGTTTAGTGAGCGTACGGCCTTAGTAGTGCAGGAAGTTAATTTGTGTTAAGCTTTAATCTGGAATATGTGAGAAACTCCCTCTTGTATGGATGATGTTGAAGGGTAACTCAATATGGCTAATTCAGTTTCTATTTACTTCCTTTAAAGATATCAATCTTTTTCAATATTTTTTTAATTGTTTCCCTGATTTTCCTCCAATATGTATATGTATGTTCAAAATAATCTCACTGGATATGGTCTAGTTATATATATATCTATCAACATATTCGAATTTGATACATAGAAATTGTAACTTGGAACTCTTGTGTCTATTGCTCAGTCTTTAAGTTTACCCAACTATTTAAAAATGTTTTAAAATATGCTACTAAGTTTTTAATCATGGCATTAAATATAAGAAACAACAATAATAAAAATCATATATACTATTCTAAATTAAAAATAACAAAAGCATTGATACATTGCAACTCTGCTGATAAGAAATATTAATGTTTTAGAATACTACTATTCTGCATAAAATAGGTAAATAGATATGTAAGTATAAGTTTATTTAGACAGATGTTTTTTATGTACTTTTTCACAATATGTTATATTAGAATTCCAATTTAAATAAAAGGCTTCATTATGTTAAAAATAGATTATATGGTGCTACATAAAATTTTATTTGTTAGTTTAACTAATGATAAGAAATCTTCATGTGTATTACTCTCTTCATTTTCTTTCTTTTCACTTATTATTAATTAGTAATGATCTATCATCCTGGATATTAAACATTTTATTCTCTTTTGTTCAAATTTATGTACTTTTATATTTCATAGGCTTCTTCTTTAATGTTTTTCTCTCTTTGTGTAACTACGCTTTAATCTTCCAATGCTATTTCAATTTATTCATTATGTAGATTTTATGCACATTGCCTTACATATTGAAAGTTCTTCATACTTTTATAGTTTTTGTACTTATGTAAGATTCAATTCAACAGATTCTTCACAATTATTATACTTTAGTGTACTTCTATTTTTTCCTTTGATTCAATGCTTAACATCTCTTCACATAGCATTATTTTTAGATTAATTAAATTATCAACTTGGGTTGTTTTATCCTTTCATTTGAATTCCAACTTACTAAGAATGTGTTCTTCACTCTTTATTTCTGAAGAAAGAGACTATTCACATTGTTATTTATGTCACATTGGTATATTATATAAATATAATTGTATATTCAAAAAAATTATAACTGAATAGATATATCATTCAAGTAGGGCAATAGCAAAGCACTAGTTCTGATAGTTGCTGACATTCAGCAAAGGTAATATTTTTGTATTAAGTACTCTTCTGCTGTTTACAAAATTTCATCTTTTCAATTTCATATATTCATCTTTAAAATTCTTCATATTCAAGCAGTAAAATTTGCAGCATTGTTTTTCCATTGTTGTGTTGATTCTTGATAAAAGTTTGCAGATTATGTGAAAAATTCTTTCATTTGCTTGCATAAATGGCTTCAGAACATTGATCCAAATGATGAAAAATCAATTACTATTTCATTTAATAACTGATTCAGTTAATGTAGTTTTGTCCAATCATGGATGAGCCTTCTAGCAGTTTTGTGTACCCTTATTGTTTAAAGTATATATCTAGTTCAGCCTTTTACTTGTAATAGCTTGTCTAATGAAAAATATTATTCTTTTAATTTTAAGGAACATTTTATACTTCACAAAACGTTCACTTGTATTAAATATATATTTTTAAGTGGCAAATTAATTAAAGATAAATTATTCTGGGTTATAGATCTGACCATTTTCGTTCGTGATTTAATGAAATTTTTAAACTCAACGGTGAATATTATTTTTCGTAAGTACTTCGTGTCATGGAACGCGTTAGTAATTGAAAATAAAATCGATTCAAAAAATTTCTGCGTTTTTGTTTTTTTTTTTTTTTTTTTTTCTATTTCACGTACAGTGTAGCGTTTGAGGTCCATCGGATGAACGAAGAGAAACTCGAGGAACATGATAGCAGAGATAAAAATACAACTAAAGTTACGCAAACGTATATCCCACGCAATGAGAAAGTTGACTTCTTTTCGTGAAGCATGAGTCACACAACTTCGCTTGCGTTATGATCCAAAAGAGTGTCCCGTTCATGTTCGTCAATTTTCCATTCAACAAAGTGTCGTTTTATCATCAAAAGAAATCCCTTTCCACCAATCCTACGTAAATCATTGTATTTTTCCCAGAACGCATGTAATCCTTCGTGGTGGCGGCTACACTTTTTCTTCTTTGTCACTATTACTCGTTAGATAGTCGAAACTTCTATCTATTCTGTTCCTACTGCGTGTACAAGGTCGAATTGAATGGTTCATTTAAGGATCCGAAATGCGTATATCGTCGTATTGGTCAGTCGACCATCACAAATTGCGAAGACTTTTTCTTCCAGCAATCGAAAAAACTTCACACATCCTCCCATAAGTAAACATTGATTAAATTGCGTCAGTCTTTGTTCAAGAATTAACTAGGGAGACGGAAGAATCCTGCATTAAAAGTAGGCTCATGGCTGACACGTACTTTTTTTTCCGAGATCTATCATTGGGCGTTAAACGAACGAAAATAAATGTGGATATCTACGTTGTATAATTTCATCGCCATTTTGAATTCGTGCAAAGGAAGAAACAGTAGCCGTACGCTCACCCAGGATTATCGGCAAAACTGCTATATTTTCGAGACTTTGGCCACTTACCAAGCGACATGTTCACTTTCGCGTCAATCTCAGACATTTTTTCGTTTTGTTTTCTGTCTTTCTTTTTTTTTATCGCGAAATACACGAGGACCGCGAATAAATCACTCGAATTATCTCCGTAACGTCACCACTGAACATACGCAAGAACACCACACGACGTACCAATCGCGAATGAACGTAAATGGCCAGTCGCAGGAAGTCATCGCCATGCCAAACCGGAAATTGCCGCTTCTTTTCATATAGCAGTTCGATACTATTGTGCCGCGAAAATTTTGAATTAACAAGAACACAGATTTTTGTAATTATATTGAATATAATTTTATTTTCTTGATATTTAGATGTAACTCAGTACTTAGTCTATAAATTTATGATTTAGATAATACATTAAGCTATGTACACTAATAAATATCATTTTCTGTGTTATTTAAATATAAATAAACCAATATGTCGTGGGTGCATTCGCTAAATATATGTATTTACGTACATAACCTTCGTTAGTAATTAATTGATATACTCATTTATCATACATAAACCTTTTTATTAACAAAAACATTTTATAATTATACTTACAATATCACGTATTTAGTGGCAATTTATATTAAATGTTTTAATATACTAATGGTTAAAATACATTTATGTATACATTTCTGTGTTACTGTAAAAGTTTAAACAATAAACCTGAAAATGGATGAAATAATAATACGTAAAGCGAAACGTGAAGATTGCAGAGCTATTAAAAATCTAATACAGGTAACTATAACATGAAACTATTTATTTCCAATTTGCCATAATGAATTATAAAGATGATACTTTTATCTTATTGTTACATTCTTTTAGGAATTAGCTGACTGTGAGCGTATGCCAAATGGACCAAAAATTGATCATACTGGTAAAAATTTACATCATTTAAATATATCACTTAGTATAAATTATTTCTTGTTAAGAATGTTAATTTAATACACATATACAATATTTATAGTTTTAGAAACAGATGGATTTGATACAGAACATCCCTTGTTTATATGCTATGTAGCAGAGATTGATAAAAATGTAATAGGATATGCAATTTCATACTACACGTATTCAACATGGTGTGGGAAAGCCATGTATTTAGAAGATATATATGTAACACCTAAATATCGAGGGAAACATATTGGTAGTAAATTATTAAAAGCTGTTGCTAAAGTATGTTCTCTACAATATATAAATATTAAAATTAAATGTCTAATAATATTAGAGAATATAGTTCTTATGTATTTTGCAGGAAGCAACAGACAGTAATTGCTGCAGATTAGATTTTTCAGTTCTTGAGTGGAACCCTGCACAAGATTTTTATAAAAGCAAGGGAGCAGCTAATTTGACAATAGAAGAAGGATGGCATCATTACCGTTTTTCCGATAAAACTTTAAAAATTTTAGCTACAAATGCATAAATATTATTGTTGTACAAATAAAATTATTTTCATAACAAATTGCAAGTTTTGTTTTAATATATTTTATATGTGGTAACCCTGTATGTATTCAATTGTTAAGAAACAGTAGAAATAAAGAAGATTTCAAAGGTTTTATTAAGATAAATGATTACAAGGATAAGTAACTAATAGTTTAAACAGAAAAATGGATGAAAAGAAGGTAAAATTATATTTTAGTTTTGGTTCATCATTTTTATGGAAAATAAGACTGATATTATTGATATATAATTTAGCAATTCATCTTGTATTACTCTAATTACAGTTTTCATATTTATTTTCTTCCACTGAACCATTGCTTACACCAAATGTATCTGGTAGAATTTTCATCCCAGAAGAACAATTACAAAAACATTATGTTGAAATTGTTGATGATGATGGTTTAAATTTGTTATCACATAGTGACATGAGCTGGGGATCTTTGGAAGATAGATATGTGCCATTTGAAATTCAGTCTGAAGAAGATTCCTCATCAATTACTTCAACTTCTTCTACTTCAAGTGTAACATTTATTAAATATGATTTTAATCTCATTTTATAACATAATTAAATATTTTTAATTTATTTGTTTCTGCAGTCTAATCTTTCATTTTCATTACTTGATCAAGTGCCACTTTCAATTGATCATGATATATTAGAATGTGCAACTTCAAGCAGTTGGAGTAGTTATGCTTTAGATATCAATTTGTGGAATGATGATAGAGCACCTGTTGTGAAATTAAGACACCTTAAAGAGATGTTATTTGATGATTTAGAATTTTGGGGCCTTTTTACAGATAGATTAATAGGAGTTGGAAAGTCATTTTTAACTAAATCACCTGAAAATGGTCTTTATATTCTAAGTAAATGTATTATGAGAAATATGGTGCGTTATTTTATATAAAAAAAAACATTGTTTTATTAAACAAACGTTATGAAAACATTTTTTTTACAGTCACTTTCAAATATTTCCCTATTAAAACATCATCGTTACTTACAATATATTGACCTTGCATACAATTATATTTCAAATTTATCACCTCTTGAAGGGATTCCCTACCTAATTTATTTAAATGTATCACATAATAGATTGGAAACTATTCTAAACTTTTCACCTCCTTGGTATTTAACATATGTAAATCTATCATATAATTACATATCAAATATGTGTGATATCAGTGACTTCTGGAGTATTGTTCATTTAGATTTATCACACAATGCAATTGAAAATATTTCTGGATTACAAAGTTTGAAGTTAGTATATTTCTTTGTACAATAGAATAAAGGAATGACTAAATTTATGTACTATATATTATATAATTAGGTACTTGAAGTATTTAAATTTATCATATAATTTAATTGAACATATTGAAAATTTGGATAAATTAAATATTCAAGAATTAAATTTAGAAGGTAATTGTATATTGTTTTAAGGTAACAGTCTTCATATAATTATAAATAAATTATAACTAATAATTAATGAGATAATTGAAATTTAAGAGTTTTGATTTGAAAGTTTAGGATGCATATAGTTTACGTGTGATAGATTTAAAGTTTAATAGAATCAATGATTTATTGGAATTATCAAACATCAAAGGTTTAATACATGAAATAGACCTTAGAGGTAATGGTTGTACAAAATGGCCCAATTATAAATCTGTACTCTTATTTTCCATGCCAAGCATATGTATTATTGATGGAATTGATGTATCTACTTCAGAAAAAGTATGTTATCAAAAATTAAAAATGACTGACTTAAGATACTAAACAATTTATGTAAACAGATTGCTGCTGTAACTTTATTTGCATCGCCAGTAAATTTAACAGCTGCTCGTACTATCACAAAACTTACTTTGTTAGAACAATTGAGCACACCTAAGATTGATTTACATGTTAGACCATATGATGAAACAAGCCCACCTTTGATAGTACTTACAGGCCCAAGTGCAGTGAAAAAATTATCCTTGGCTCTTCAGATTGCTCAAACATTACCAAAAAAAGTAATATTATAATTATTTCCTAACTCATTGAATTTAATTATTAATTTTTCATAGGTAAAATATTGTCAATGGTATACAACAAAAGAATCAGAACCCAATGAAACTGATTTTGAACCCTATATTTTTGTAAATAGAGAAGAATTTAATGATATGTCTCGCCATGGAGAATTTTTAGCAATTCAAGAAAGACTAGGAAATAGTTATGGATTTCGTTAGTTAGATATATAAAGTTTTCTGCAGCAATATTTCTTGAAATGCTTATTGATTATTTGTATTTATTTAGATCATAATCAAATTACTTCCTTAATATTGGAAAACAAAATTGGTATCACACAAGCAGACTTGCATGCAGCCATTCAAATAATTAAACGGTATTCTAATAGTAAAGCAGTTCTTGTGCTTACAAAAAGTGAACAAATTCATCGCGAGCGAGTGCAAGAAAAGTTTTACGTTTATACATATACGAAAAATAGCAAAAAATATGTTACAGAAAGTGAATTAAATTTTATTAAAGAAATTTTAAACGACGTATGAAAAAGTTTATATTTTATTTATTGTAATAATCATGGTAATATAACAATTGTTAGTAACACTTGATTATAGATTATAGAAAATGTTCAAACGTCTTCAATTGATGTGTTGGGTAAACAACATGATAATGCAACAATTGATATTGCACTTGAAAATAAAACATTATTTGATATTAAAACAGACAAAAGTGTAACAGAAATAGAGAAAGAAATATCAGATAACAAGTTTCAAAAACAAAAAATTAATTTACATACAAAAGATTATAGTACATTACAGGACCATAAAGGACTAAGAGTATTGAGTTTATGTAACATATAAAATATTAAGTACGTAATAGTAAATAATTGAGACTATTTACAGGTAATTTTAGATGAACATGCAAATATTATAATTGAGGATGAGCATTTGAAACGTAAAAGACATCAAGAAAAACTTCTACAACGTCGAGATACATTAGTGCGAGGAGCGGATTTTCCACTTATAGAAGAACTTAGTGAATCGGTATCTAGCGAAGAAATTTTAACAAAAAAAGTTGGTATTAAACAATTAATTTTCCGTTTCTATTGTTACTGATGCTATTTCTAGTCTATACATAAAATTACACAAATAAAACAATGCAAATTTACAATTTATTTTAAGTCAGAAGCAAAACAACCAGAACATATGAAAGATTTTTATACAGAAGTCATAATAAAATCAAGAAAAATATACTTAGATCAACATATGAATAAGCCAGGATTTTTTTCTTTAGTGGTAACATTTTTAAATGTTAAAAGTAAATGCAGAATATGAAATTCATAATTCTTATTCAATATAATGTTTTATTATTATTTTGCAGGTACTAACAGATAACTATTTTAAAGCATTTAACAAATTGATTAATTTTATTTATGAATTATATATAAATTATCCACTTGAGAAACCAAAATTTTCATCTGAACTTAATCATTTCTCTGATGTTGCTGTTCCAACAATGGTTAATTCTGTTGTTGATGAAATGATACAGTAAGTATTCATTTATTTCATATTGGTTATTATATTAAAGATTTTTTTATAAACAAATATGTAGATCTTTATCAACATCAATATTACAAAGAAAAACCTTGTTAAGAATGTATGGTGTTACTTCATGGAAAGAATTAGTTCCTAATCAAAGGATAGAAAATTCAATTAATATTGCTGATTAAATATGAGGTAAATGTTCAATTACAAAAGTATCTAAC